ATTTCAATATAATCTATGAAACAGCTTGATTTTAATACGGGATTTTGTTGCAAGCCCGTTTTAAATAACTAGTGGGAACATATTAGTCCAATGACTTTTACCGGATATAACCTATATTTTGCTGTGTGGATATTAAAATCGATAGATTATATTACAAGGCCGTGCTAAGCGTTGTTGATAGACGCAAAACAATTTTAATTGTTGTTCTGTGAGCAAACACTTCAGTAAACCAACTACTTGAGTAGAGCAAACGTTGCTGCGTTTACAAAAATGACAAATAAGGGGTTGGCCATTATTAGAAATTCTGGGAGGGGAGCTGGTAAAACTATCTTTTCCCTGAACATAGTTTTGAGCAAGTGATGTTGCTGTACACACCTTCCTCTATCGATTTTTTTTTTTTATAAATATTAGCTTTTAAATTGTGTGAAAATTATTTTTTTGCCTCTAAGCTACCACCCACAGAATTTCTAATGGTCAACCCCTAATGAATACAAAATTTCTTACTGAAGGAGTCCTGACTAGGATTTGACTATATTAGGCAGGGGTTTGAGAAAGTAATGTCATTTCAAACTGAATTTAAGGGTTATCCATTAGGAACTCTGGAAGAACAATGTTTCTGTAGAGTTTGTTTGCTTATCCTCTATCTTATTTGCGCGATTTTCCTTTTATACTTGTTTTTCTGTCAATTTCCTTGTAAGATAAGTTTTTCTTGAATTTACTGTGTAGATTTTGAGTTCAAATTTACCACTCTCAAAATATCTATTGGTCAATCCCTTACTGAGAGAATAGTCCATATGCAGTCACAAAATTAAAACCCAGCTAGGACTCGGAGACAATTTCAGTTACCCTTGGGCGACTGAATAACGACGACAACATGTATTTTTTTTGGAGAAAAATAAATTCTTGTACGTTTTGGTGGCTTGGGTTTCACGGTTGTTTTTACATTCAGGTCACCGACTGTCAACCTGATGTTTTGTCATTTTGAAGCTACAGTAATTGCAATTTAATAAAGATGTTGCAAATGGTTTGTCAAAGGTCAGATTGTGCTGGGAAGAAACCATTATGTCAGAGGGGTGTAGAAGACCATTTTGAATCCGGGAAAATACGAGTGCTCTCACATTACCTGCAAACTTTGTAAACCAAGGCCAAGAAAATAAATATTCTTATAGCACTTATGTTAAAACTGTGCAAGCACATTTTTATTTAGGTTTTTCCTTCAAATTTCAGAAAAAATAGAATAAAATTCAAATTTTCATGAAAAATCAAAAAACGCAATTTTACACCAAATTTAGGTAAGTATGAACAGCTTTTATGAAAATTTATAAAATATTGATAAATAACATTCATCCTGGAAGGCATGCATGTTTTATTCAAATAAAATTTGTTTATTTGCTATGTATAGAAACCATTTTGTAAAACCCACAACATTGTTTCCTTCAATCATTGGTTAATTTACTGCCGTGCATGTGACAGTTATTCAGTTACTTTCGGGCATAATTTACGAGTATATACGATTATAAATTTTCAATTTTCTTTATTTTGTGTAGTCCAGCATATTTCCCAAGCCAAGTGATTGGCTGTGCAGGCTGCACAATGTGATAGTATGGCTGCCTTTGTTTGACTAAGATGATCTGCCTGTAGTTGCAATTATTTAATGAATAAAATCTTGCCTTTGTACATGCAAAAAAAAATGTTTTTACATCATAGCACCAGTAAAATGTCCGTTTCCATGTTTTGTTTGCACAGAAGGGCGTACAGAGATGTTAATTGACAAACAAAAACAGACATGACCAGGCAGATACAAACCTATGTTAAAGTGGGAGAGTTGTCACCTGCGCATGCGTCAGATGGCCATAGCGTGTCATTGTTTACAAACAAGCGTCTACCCATGAGCCTTTGCATTTTTAGCGTGTGTTGTTATCATCGCTTGGGACTCAATTCCCACACGTGCACAGGTGACGACACTCCCGCTTTAAGATTACTTCACATTTATATTAACATTCAGAGCCACAGTTTAGGCCTTGTGGTTGCATAGTTTTTGATGAAAACGTACGGCTACCTTGTGACATTCCCCTTTGACTTTAAACATAAATCAGGTTTGTGAGTAATGTGATGTTTAAATGTTTCCCTTGGAGATGCGTTAATCACATGCACACATCATGTAACTTTGAACTTTAACCTTAAAATGTATACTATGACATTGAGTAAGACAGAAATGTCTTGTGATGCTATTATCATTTAGATTTGCTTGAACATCTTTCTGTGAAACATTTCCTTGATACAGCGATTCCATACATTAGTACAATACAAGTATGCTGGCTGTGGCGGGTTAAATTTATTTTATACTTCGAACAAGTCATTGTTCAGGATGCTGGCACGTCTAAACACAAAACTTTTTTGTAACCATTTCCAAGCCTTCTGTTGAGTTGATTTCAAAACACGAGTAGCATACCGTAATTGCATTCATTAAGTCGTAATTGAGTAAATAACGGCAATATGAGGTTTACATAAACATAGAGCTCTAGGTGCTCATAATCCTGAGCGAGCTGAATATATTTACAAATGAATTTCTCTTGTTTGGGGGAGTGGTCAATGTTACCGGTATTTGTAATGTATTTGTTTTCTGTGATCAATTAAATTTCATTAACTGATTACGGTAGTTTGTTTTCTCTAGTACCGATATGCTGTGTTGGTATACTGTGGAATACTTTATTTTCGCTGGAATTAATTTTCGCTGAAAAGACTTTTTGGCCGTTTTGTATGGAATTTATTTTCACTGATTTTTGATGAGTTTAATGTGAAATATAGGAAAAAAAGTATATTCACAGGATTTTATTTTCACGGAATCATCCCTTCAGCGAAAATAGCGAAAATAAATTCCAAGCGAAAATAAAGTATTCTACAGTATTCGTATTCCAAAACATATTGCTGAACTGGTCACAACCACTCTATCCTCGGGGGCGGAGCTACGTCACGGACGTTCTACGTTGCTAAGACGCGCACCACTGCACCACGTATTTCTATGGGGCTTTGTGCGCGCTGCTGTGGAACGCCGTGGAGCCGGTGAAAACTCGAGAAAACAACACAAACTCAACTTTGAAGTAATCCTGAACAACCAAATTCATAAATGTTACACACGTAGGGCTAATCTTGTTACACTGTTCAGGGGACTCTCAACAAACATCGCAAAGTGCCGTTTTCTGCGAGTTTTTGGTCTTTGTTTTCACCGCGAGGGTTGCCAGGCGGTAGAAAATGCCCGGATGTCCGCCCCCGAGGATACATTTAGTACTATAAACAATTATGTGACCCGAGTAAAAGAATCAACAGGAGTGATATTTGGAACCCAACATTTGGGAATTTGTATAATTTATTCAAATATTTAAATCAACCTTGTGACACTTTGTAACTATAGTGAGATCATGGTGAGATAAAGGATTATCTTTAAAGAAGAAAATGTGGGATCATGTGATTATTAGAATGAGTAACGCCATGGCCTTGTGAGGAAACAGTAAATTTTGTGGGGTCACAGAAACTATACAAAAGCCATTACATCGTTACGAATCAACTGATTACTGAGCGATGCTACTTGTCGTGTGCTGTATCAGGGAGTATGGAAAATTAGAGCTGCTATCATGAGTGCGTCGTTCAACTGTATTTCAACTTAGCACTTGGTGTAGATTACAGCTGCGGTCTGCATGAGGGTATCCAATAACAATAAGCATATGCAATCACTTATTGCGACGACCGTGCATGGAAGTACATTGCGAGAATAACTCAGTGAATTATTTATCAGCACAGTGCAACATTATTTTCATTATTCATTTCTTTTATAATTAAACTATTTTATTGTGTTGAACCATGGAGGTATAAACAGTCTATACCTCCATGGTTGAACTGATTCATTGCATGAAAGCCCTTTTCAACATAACAGTGTTGAATATTGTTACGGGTAGTTTGTGGTCACTTCTTGATTGAGAACGCTAAACTTTGTTGGGTACAATTTGCCATGCTACAATTTGACATTTATACGTTTAAACATTTTCTTATAAGTTAACGATAAAGCTCCATTGCTCAAAACGTCTATTTTGAATACCGATAGTCACTTTGGACAATGATTACCAAAATATTATCTCCTATATGTTATAATTTACATACCTAGCAATTTAGTAATCGTGTCATGTACAAAAGAATCTGAACACACCCAGACATAATTCAGAGGTTTCCGATTAATATCCGTGAAGTCTGTCACAATATATAAATACAACGATATATGCATGCTGCTTCACGCTAGCACAAGTAGATGTGCATTCTTCATGTAGGAGACACCAGTCACTCACAATGAGAATGAACACATGGCAAAATGATGTTCACATGTGCTGTATTTCACTATCATTCCAGTTGAGTTTACACATAAATAACATGGAAATCACCCATAGATTTGTTAGTAATTCATCCTAGGGCATCAATTAAAGATACTGGTCGTTGGTAATGGAGACTGTTGCTCAAATACACTACAAAGGTTCATAGTAACTAGCTTATTCAAAGATAAAAGTAATTATTTAGTGTACTTAGTGACTGATCAATTGAGTATTGGGTCATGGCAAAATCAGTTTACACAAATCTTATCAAATCACTTGCAGGATTAGATTAAATAAAAATTTTATGTGATGATCCAGATTGGTGCACACCTATTTACTGTACACGTCTTTGAGGCCCTTAGTAGTTTCTTAATTAATTAGGAAACTCTTTTACACCATCAGCTAGTATTTGCATGAGTGTAAAATAGCTGTGGCTAATGGGAAGAAAATAAGATTGTAAAACAAGATAAATGCAACTGGTAATCGAAATATGGAGAAGGTGAGATCATGACGAATGTAAAAAGATTACTTTTTAGCCATTGGTGGTAAAGTGACATTAATTATTGCAGCTAAGTCTCAAACAAACTCACAATTGGCGACAAGCAAAGAATTAGCAAAAGTAAAGATCTAACATGGACGTGGTCTTGAAATGAATATGAAAATCAAATTAAACATAGAACTTTTATTTGACATTCACAATAGGTTCAATCAATTTCAACCAATACATGGTAATATTATTTTGCATATTATAAAGTAATTATAAATTTGCACAATTTAACTTTCTTTATTAGATTTTCAGTTTTAGAATTTCTATTCTATAAAGTGTTGTGTCATCTTTTTTACGCTGTGTTGATGGCAGCTCAGTTCTCTGCTTCAGTTGATTTAACAATAACTCAACACTGCCCAATTCTTTAAAGAAAACCATCTGAAAGTTTAAAACATGAAATATAAATATAATTGACAGCATGCCCTCTATAGTTCATGCAATTGAATACTTTTGTTTATCAATACCCTGATAGTTTTGATCATTTTAGCGAACAGTAAATGGAGTGATATTTTTTCTCACCTTATCGGCAACTGTTTCATGTAGCTGTAACAGTAAATCTCTGGCATCCGGGAATATTAACAGTTGTGTAAACTGTGCATCCAGTATCATGCATATCCATTCTACAGTCTGAGAGAAGATACATTTACAGTGCAGAAGAAAACTATTGGAAAGTGACAGATAATGGATCAAACCAGATTCAGTTGGATATATACCACCATGAATGTACCTGTAGGCAACTGG